AAGAAAGCAGTCCAAAAGCTTTGGGACCCTGCACCCGCATAGAAGACCCGGACGAGACTCCTGGCTTCGGATCAGCATAGCACTGGCCGTTGCGCTCACTTGGGGAGTGAATCATCGGACGGAAGATCTTCCTCTGTCTCTCCTCTCTGTATATCCGCCTTTCCAATAAAAAATAGAATAAATCTTTAAAAATAAAAAAAGGAAAGCAATAGAGAATGGCCCAAGGTTTTGGGACCCTGCACTTGCATGGGAGACCCCAAAGAGGCTCCTGGCTCTGGATGAGCTCAATTCCAGCCATTGCAGCCGGTGGATGGAAGATCCATCTCTCTGTAAAAATCTGCCTTTGCAATAAAATATATATATATATATATTTTTTAAAATGCAGATCAGATTTACAGAGAGGAGAGACAAACATCCTCCACCTGCTGATTCACTCCCCAAGGGGCCACAACAGCCAGAGCTGAGCTGATCCAAAGCCAGGATCCAGGAGCTTCTTCCCAGTCTCCCATGCAGGTGCAGGGTCCCAAAGCATTGGGCCATCCTAGACTGCTTTCCCAGGCCATGAGGAGGGAGCTGAATGGGAAGTAGAACAGCTGGGACACGAACAGGTACCCATTTGGGATCTTTGTGCTTGGAGGTAGAGAATTAACTAGTTATGCTATCACATCAGGACCATGGCCAGGTTCTTGAAACAGTGGTGCGCCTGATGGTGGAGGCAGGGGAGGGCTGGGTAAGGCAGAGCAGGGAAAAAAAACGGATGGGAAGGCTTTTCCTTGTCCTTTTAAAAAATTTTAGTATTGATGTTCTTCACATAGCTGACCAGAATGCAGACCCACAAGGACCATGGAATAGGGTGAGGATGGTCAGGGCATGGGGGAAGATGAGTGGGGCAAACGCTTTCAATTTTCCTTTTTTAAGATTTTTATTTTTTATTGGAAAGATATAGAAGAGGAAAGACAGAAGAAGATCTTCCATTGATTCATTCCCCAAGTTGTCACAATAGCCAGAACTGAGCCAATCCAAAGCCAGGCGCTTCTTCCAGGTCTCCCACGCAGGTGCAGGATCCAAAGGGTTTGGGCAGTCCTAGGCTGCTTTCCCAGACCACAAGCAGGGAGCTGGATGGGAAGGAGGGCCACTGGGATTAGAACCAGCACCCATATGGGATCCTGGCATGTGAAAGGCAAGGACTTCAGCTGCTAGGCTATCTCACTGAGCCCCCACTTTTCCTTTTCTCCTGTATGGGGTGGGGAAGCGGCTGTTCTCAAGAGCCAAACAACATCAACACTGGGTGATGTGGCTGTCCACCGACATCCTTGCTCTTGGTACCCACTTCCCTATGATGCGCTTGCCCATCATGGATGAATGAATGCGTGCTGAGTTCCCCCGCAACTCAACTAGGGCACCGCCCCTACCCAGTAAAGGGCTGAAACCGAGCCGGGCACAGCTTGCTTTTCCCTAAGGCTGACGATGTGGGAGGGCTTCCTCTTTCATCTCGGTAAACAACTCTTGCTCTAGTCTCTGCCCTTCCTCCATCAGTGTCTCCTGCCAACTCTGGCTGCTTCTCTTGTTCAGTATGGGGCGGGGTTCTTATTGACCTGAAAATTTAGCCCTGAAATACAAGAGCTGACGCGGGCGGGTTTTCATATTCCTAGACCTCCCAGGCCCACTCTCTTAGAGGTTTGGGTGCCTGGTTCAACTTTCGTGGTGGCAAATCAACCTTTTACTCAAATTAGCTGATGGAGCCGTTGGAGTGGTGCACCTGGTCCCACAGCCTGCATAGTTATGTGTACCCCCTCCCACCTGCCAAAAAAAAAAAAAAAGTCCCAGCTTGCGGATTCTCCTTTGTGGAAATCCCCAGACCCACGCAAAAAGTCATTGCCACCTTCCTGACCTTAACCCCTACCCCCTTGCCACTATCAAAATTCCCTAGGGGCCTAGTGCAGTGGCCTATTGGCTAAAGTTCTCGCCTTGAACACATGCCAGGATCCCATATGGACGCTGGTTCTCATCCCAGCTGCCCTACTAGCCATCCAGCTCCCTGCTTGTGGCCTGGGAAAGCAGTGAAGGACTGCCCAACCCCTTGGGACCCTGCACCTGTGTGGGAGACCTGGAAGAAGTTCCAGGCCCCTGGCTTCAGATCGGCACAGCATCAGCCATTGAGGTCACTTGGGGAGTGAATCATCAGATGGAAGATCTTCCTCTCTGTGTCTCCTCCTGACTTTGCAATAAAAATAAATCTTAAAAAAAAAAAAATTCCCTAAAGAACATAGTATCACTCAGAAGATGGCAGAGAGTACAGTAGGCCAATCAGGGGTGTAAATGTGAGTGGAACATACCCCTCTCCGCCCCAATTTCAGTTCCTAACAACCTTGACCCGGTAACTGCTTTAGTCACCCAGTAATGAAGCCAGAGCTGCCTGTGGTATTAAACACCCATCTTCTACCACCTTGACATTAGAGGCCCATTGATTTTCAATAAGCAGACACGATTTTGCAGGAATCTATAGCGCTTTATTCAACTAGTTTTATGGGAGAATCCTTTAATATTTTTCATTAAATAGCATTAGAGGTCCAGTGCAGTAGCCTAGTGACTAAGGTCCTCTCCTTGCACTGGCCAGAATCCCATATGGCCGCTGGTTCTAATCCCAGCTGCTCCACTTGCCATCCAGCTCCCTGTTTTGTGTCCTGGGAGGGTAGTTGGGGATGGCCCAAAACCTTGGGACCCTGCACCTGCATGGGAAATCCAAAAGAAGCTCCTGGCTCCTGGCTGCGGATCAGCTCAGGCCTGACCTTTGCAGGTACTTAGGGAGTGAACCAGCAGATGGAAGATCTTCCTCTGTCTCTCCTCACTGTATATCTGCCTTTCCAATAGAAATAATCTTTTACAAAAATAGCATTAGGCTTGGCGTGATGGCTCAGTAGCTAAATCCTCACCTTGCATACACCGGGATCCCAAATGGGCACCGGTTCATGTCCTGCTGGTCCACTTCCAATCTGGCTCTCTGCTTGTGGCCTGGAAAAGCAGCAGAGGACAGCTTAAAGCCTTTAGACCCTGCACCTACATAGGAGACCCAGAAGAAGCTTCTGGCTCCTGGCTTCAGATCAGCTCAGTCCAGCTATTATAGCCGTTATACAGAGAGGAAGATCTTCTGTTGATTCACTCCCCTAGTGACTGCAATGGCCAGTGCTGCACCGATCCAAAGCCAGGAGCCATGAACTTCCTCCTGGTCTCCCACACACAGGTGCAGGGTTCCAGGGCTTTGGGCCATCCTCGACTGCTTTCCCAAGCCACAAGCAGGGAGCTGGACGGGAAGTGGGGCAGCCAGGATTAAAATCGACACCCATATGGGATCTTGACTTATCCAAGGCAAGGATTTTAGCCGCTAAGCCCCCGCGCTGGGCCCCAGTAGGTAGATCTTTCTCACTGTAAATACCTTTCCAGAACAGGTCTTTATATTCTGTTGATTCCCTCCCTCTAGATGCCTGCAAGAAGCATTGTTCAACCTGGAACCCTGGCCTCCATCTGGTTCTCCCACATGAGTGATGTGAGCCCAAGCACCTGAGCCATCATTTACTGCCCCCAGAGCGCATTAGCAGGGAGCTGGAACACAGAGGAGCCAGGTCTTGAACCAGCACCGGGATAGCAGACATTCCAAGCAGGGGCTCCACACTGGCCACACCCCCACTCTCAGCGGTTCCCTCCAGCCAGCCAAGACCCTGCTGAACTTGTCACTTCTTCCTCTTTTCCTCAGGATGTCACAATACCCAGGAGCTTGTGGGCAAGGCACAGAGAGGCCTTCTCAGCGGGAGTTAACGGCTTACCAAAAGAAAAATAGTCCCAGGCATCCCATGGTTCTGCTCAAGCTTGCTATAGCCCTACAGGACCAGGCTCCTCCATTGCAAATGGGGGTGGATAGCAAGAAGACGGGGAGATCCTCCTGGGCACGATGTGAATGAGGCTGTGAAATTGGGGAGATGCTGCCAGAACCTGGGTGGTCCCAGTGTGTCCATCTTAAAGGCCACTATCACCTGCCCAACCAGAAGTGGCAGGAAGCTGGGACTGAAACCTGGGTGTTGGGCTCCAGGCCACACCCCCTGCTGTTCCAGTTACATGGCCAGAGCCCTCAGGAACACCTGCTCTAGTGCAGGACCCACTCTTCTGGATACTGGGCTTGTCCCTTTCAATTCACTTTCCCATAGTCCTCTGACCTGTTCCATCACCACCACCTCCAGGTAGTCCATTCACCCTCAGACACACTGAGGACCTGCCTTCTACTCCCCTACATCAGAAGTGACTTGGAGAGCGTCATAGCTCCCTTCAAGATTTGGTTTGAAAAGCAGAGTTATAGACAGGAAGAGAAACAGATCTTCCATCTTGCTGGTTCACCACCCAAATAGCTATATCAGCCAAGGTCGGGAGAAGCTGAAACTAGAAGCCTGAAACTGTTCAGGACTCTGAGGGGTGAGAGGGGCCAGGAGCACTTGGGCTATCCCCTGATGCCTTCCCAGATGCGTTAGGAGGGAACTGGATCGCAAGCAGAACAGTTGGGACTCGAACTAGTGTTTGAGGCAGATGCCTTGGCCCAGTACACCTTAACATACAACCCCAATCACTTGGAGGCTTCGAATGCGAAGTTCTCAGGTCCAAGATGTGATCTCAAACTCGGCACTTAGCGGCAAGCTCCTAGGGGCTACCTACGATATGTGAAGTTCCCACGGTGGCACATGCAGTGCCCTCCTGTTGCTAATATACCCAGAACCCCACAGTCCCACTCCAGGCACATGTCAGAGACCGGTCTCCATACCGCATCAACACATCCGCTTCCCTTCCCTCAGCCAGGGATTGTCACCTGGCAGGTCCCAGCCCCAACTCCAAGCCAGAGGACACAAGAGCGTGGCCTGCTAGATGGTGCCAATTCCCACCTGTGGCTCTGATGGGCCACGCAGCCCCTCTTTCCCAACATGCCCAAAGGAAATTGTTCTCAGAAGTAGTTTTTCCTTTTATTCAGAAGCAGCCATGGGACTGGAGGCTGCCTGGTGGCGCCTCGTGGCGAAACTCAGGAGCACAGCCACACCAACCAGGAGCACCACTGTGGCCAGGCCTAAGCTCAGCACGGTGGCACTGGAATATGCAGGAGAGGCCCACTCCTTCGGGTCTTTGGGGTCACCTGCCTTTCCCAGGAAGATGAGAGGCCCCACAGTGATGTCAGCTTCCTCTGTTGCTGTGAGACAGAACATCCATGGGTCACCTTAGTCCCTCTGCATGAGCCACAGGATATAGCTTGCTCTGCCCCCAACAGCCAGGTCCTTCCCATTCACCTGCTTCCCAGCAGGGTCCCTGGCCAACGGCAGGGCCACCTTGGCTAACACTGGGGTAAGTGCCAAAAACCCCTACCCAGAATGGCATGAGTTTGCATCCCTCCCCAGCCCCTGCTGAGGCTAAGCAAAGGGGAGAGAGGAGGGCAGTGACTGTCCCATGTCCTACCATGCCTGCGGTTTCTCAGAGCAGCCTTGAGCCAATGGGCAGTGGAATGGTTCCACTTCAAAGAGCCTGGAACGCTGCCGCAGTTACCCTCATTACAGCATTCGCAGATGTCATCTGTGCCTTCTACCGGGGACCACCTGAGAGGGCCAGAGAAATTTAGGAGCGAAGGGGGAGGATACAGAGAGGGTACCCCCTTAGAGTCTTCAAATCCCAGTCTCGCTGAGACTCTGGTCTGCTCACCTGCCAGAAGCCTGGTTGAAGGAACAGGCTTTGTTGAGCTGGTCCGGGGCTTGCTGGGCAGGAATGACCTTTAGATGGCAGGTGATGTATACCTGCAAGTGACAGCAGCTATGACAAGACAGTTCTGGGGGCTCTGAGTGGGTGGGCAACTGTTATAGCTCAGCAAGTTAAACTGCTACCTGGGATGCCGGCTTCCCATAGTCAAGGTGGCTGGGTTCAGTCCCCGTGATGCTGTTTAGCATCCAGCTTCGTGTTAATGCATACTCTGGCAGGCAGTGCCACTCACACAGAAGACCTGGAAGAAGTTACTGGTCCCTGGCCTAAGCTTGGCCCAGCCCTGGTTGGTGCATGCATTTGTGGAAGTGAGCCAGCAGATGGATGATCTCTTGCTACGCATTTTCAAATTTAAGATTTGAAAAAACTCATCTCTACTGGCTCATTCCTCAAGCAATCACCATAGCCCCTAGTTGGGGAGAGCAAAGCCAAGAGAACCAGACAAGCAATGAGGCATGCCCATGCGAGGTGGCGGGAAGCCAGTTACTTGAGCCATCACTGCTGTCTCACAGGGTCAGCATTAGCAGCAAGCTGGAATCAGAAACCGAGCTAAAGATCAAACCCAAGCATTTGGATGTGGGGACCCTGAAGTCTAAACCGTTAGGCCAAAAGTTCATCCCTGCCAGGCCTTCAGCCAGGCCATGCTCATTCATGGACCCTTTACAAGCTGCAGAAATGTGGGAAAGCTCTATTAGAAGGTGGGGAGGGAGGGGAAGAGGGTGACAGGTGTTGTGGTACAGTGGTTAAGTTGGCTCTTGGGATGCTCCCATCCCATATTGCCATGCCTGGTTCAACTCCTAGCCTCTCAGCTTTCCAGTCTAGCTTCCTGGTAACACGTACCCAGAGAAGGCAGTCCAAGAACCTGGAGGCCTGCCAACCACGTGGGATACCTGCGTGGAATCTGCAGCCAGGTCGATGTCCCAGCTATTACCACTGGCATTTGGGGAGTGGGCCAGGGAGATGGAAGATTTCTGGCAGCTAATGCTAAAGTAGGAAGATTTCAGAGTATAATTCACCCAAAATGACTAAAAGTAACCAGTCTGATTCTATGCCCGTTTGTTATTTCCACCCTGAATTCATAAAGCTAGAGGGACTACACACTGCCAAGTCCCCTTACATGCACCCCCCCCCGGTACCTAAATAGGGTCAAGGCCAGTTTGCCACAAGCAGCTTCCACTGGGCTGTGATGGCTGCTACCTGCCTCCTTGACAAGTTTCTCCCTGGAGGACATAGCCACAGGCTGTCCATGGTTTTCAGCTAACAGAGGGGGAGGACCTAGGACTCTTGGACACCCAGAGGCCTTTGGAGTTCGACTCCTCGGGAGCTTCCATTTCAGCCAGGGGCTTCACCTTGCTGGCGGTTTCCACCAGCAAGGTTCCCTGTGCTCTGTTTCTCATGGGCACAGGTCCCCATCTGGCCTATCTCCAGCGTCATCTGTCTACAACAAGCCCTGGCTGGTGCCTTGGCTTGGACCTCGCCCCAGCCTCCGGGTTAGCCTCCTCATGGAACACTGTTAGGTTAGGTATTACTACAGGAGCTCCACCAGGGGGTGGATTTAATTGCTCTGCAAACCTGCCCAAGCCAAGGGCGAGGACCTCCATCCAGGTCTCCTGAACGAGTGACAATCTGATTTCCCCAGGCACGTTAGCCAAGAGCTGATCATATCTAGGTCTTGATTCAGCTCTCATATGGGATGCTGGTATTACAGGCAGTGGATGAACTTGCTGTTTTACAATGCTGGCTCCACCTCTCAATTGAGACAGTCACCTGGAAGTTCAGAAGGCGTCTGATGCCTTCCTAAGATGTACTAGGATGGTGTAAGATTGTGATCTAGTGAAATGCTAACAGAACTCAAGGGAGGTGTTCCTGAAAGCTTTCACAGCACGTGTTTGGAGAGCTTTGTATAAGTGTGGGCAACAGGAGAATCCAGGACCCACTCAGCACGGCAAACACTGTAGCACATCACCTTCCCAGGTGACTGGCCAGCGCTGAAAACCCTTCAATACTCACTTCCTATCTGTTCTGCTAAACTTCACAGGCCCCACTCCCATCAAGACAGCTTGTTCATAAATGCCACCCGATTTTCTCCACACTTGGAGTTGTCAGCGTGACCTTCTGTGCCTCTCATCCCTTCCCTGCTCAGGCCCGGAGCACTCCTTCTATCCCTCCTGGTTCTGTAGCTTGGCAATAATCGAGCATTAAGTAATCTGGCAGCTTGGACAAGGTCCAAACTTCCCCTAAACCCCTGTGGGTCAAGCCCAGCGGCAACTTCCATCTGCAGGTGAAGCTGGCTTCTGGGATCAACCGACTACATTGCCCACACCTGCCAGAGCTGTCAACTCCATTCAACCCAGTATCCTTTGGGGTTCAGACCCTGCTGGCCTTGGCAGAGACTAGGTCACCAGACTTAGTCATTACACCTGCATCTTGAGCCATCACCTCAATTTCCTGTACTCAGGTTCTCCCGGGTTTCCCGATTTCTAGGATCCCTTCCTCCCCTTTTCCTATACAGGTCTTCTACCTGCCTCCTCTGAGAAAAGGCAGGTGCAATACAGAATCTGAAGACCTTGTAGCAAGTACTGATCTGCTTGGCAAGTTCATCAAGTGGCTGCGACAGTGACAGCCGTTGACAACATGCTTCTGGTGAGAGCTATGAATGCCAGCAGGTTACTAAGCCCGACCCAAAGTCCAGCCTGCGCCCAAGCTATCAAAGCAAAGATTTACCGTGTGTCTGGAGTCGTTGGCAAAGTGGAACACGGCCACTGTGAACTGCAGGGTGTCCGGCTTGGATCTGGGGGCCTTGAACTTGGAAGAGCCATCATAGAGCCCGTCCACCAGACAGCTTGGTAAGAGAACAAGGTTGAGGAGGCTGTTAGAAAGCATGGGAAGAAGGCAGGGACAGGGAATGCCAGCCCCAAGAAGCAGCCCCGCTGCCCTCACCCATGGAAGTCCACGATGGTGTGAGATGGGGAAGCGCTGTGGTCAGGCGTGGGTGTGGCCACACAGTGGTCCACCAAGAGCAGCAGGGCCGGGTGGCCACCGGTGTGCACATCGGCCTGCAGGTGGGCCACATCTCCCAGGTGGAAGGTGGGAGAAGTCTTCTCTGCCCTCCAGTTGTCTGAGAGGCAAGGCCCAGGATGAGAGGAATAGCTCAATGGCATCCCCATCCCCACCCCCAGGGAAAGCCCCACCCGCATCCAACTCCAGCTCACCCTCCATGAGGCGCAGAGAGAAGACCAGCCTCTCTTCCGAGAGCACGGTGGTCCGGAAGGGCACCCAGGTGGGCTGGATGGCCCGGCTACTCACGTTACCTTGCCTGGGTGAGGAGAGGAATATAGCTGCCCCAGAGCCTGCCCATCCAGGCCCATGTGCTGATTCTCAGTCTCCCAACTGGCAGCCCCACAGACACCCCACCCAGGCCTGAGCTAGCCCCTCAACTTCCGCACCTGAGCAACCCATGGCTATGACATTGGCAGATGGAGGCCTCCAAGACTGGAAACCTCCCTTCTTAATGCCAACCTCTGACCCTTCAACTTGAGCCCAGTTGGTAAGTCCAGAGCAGCAAGGCCCTGCCTGGACTGCAACCCCCTCCCCCTCAACCTCTCGGAATTCTCTAGTCGGGGGCAGGGGTCAAGGCTAAGGAAGTCCGTTGGAGAGAACACAGAGGGGCTGCTCATCTTGGAAAGCCAGTGAGAGAACTTGAGCCTGTCCCAGAGATGGGGGAGTCCCTGGCCCATGGAAGTGGGTCCAGATGGCTGCAGCTGTCCAAACCCCTGACCCAAGGTCAGCGGGCAGGGGGCTGCTTCTCCTGGTGATGCACTCAATAAGGTACTGATAAGTTTCGAGAGGCCTCGCCTGGGCCAGGGCCAGGACTTCAGGCAGAGCTACACTGGAGCATGGGGGTGGGGAAAGGGTGTCAGGAGGGACTGCTTCAGTACCAGGAGGGCTTTGCCCCCTGACCAGTGTGGGCTGGCTGAACTTCCCCTCTTGAGTCCCCAGTCCTGTGTGGTCAGACCCCTAATTCTTCCAGCTCCTGCTAGCCAACCTCCTAGATCCCTGCTGCCTCCACTTGCCCCTCTGTCTCCCATATTAGCTCCCAGATGAGCGACCCCTTGGAGGAAAGTGCTATTCTCACCTGTCCTATGGCTTCTTCAGGGCAGGGTAACCAATGAGGTCTGACCTCAAATACTTATTCATCTCAGCTAGGCCCCTGGAGCCTGCCTGCCCCACTTGCTTGACTGCCCCAGACGGCCCCGGATGTGTAGCCCACATAACTGTCAGGTAGCTGTGTGTGGGATTTCAGCCCCTCCCAGGAGCCACCATCATCATCTAACACTCCCCCACCAGTCATGCAGAGTCCACAGGCATATACTTCACACTGGTCAGGGACAGGGTAAAGCAAGGCCTTACATCAAGAACAGCTTACAGGCCCAAGTTGGATTAGGTGGTGGAAGTTGCCAGAGCACAGCTGGGCTCCAAGGAGGGACACCTGTGCCCCAGATGCATTTCCACAACTAATAGATTCAGTAGCATTCTCCCGTTCCCCTATCCACCTGGAGCAGAGGCCAAGAGCCCCAGCCGCAAGCCCTTCCGTTCTATCTGCTCACAGCCCTGATGCAAGCGGCCATGTCAAGGCCTCAGCACCAGGGTTGGGGCTGGCTGGCTGCCAGTCTGGCCAGCCTTCACTAACCTGGGGTAGCGGCACTCGATGGGGACCTCAGCACGGTTGGTCCTTAGGATGGACAGATTTCCCATGGGCCGGGGGTTGTGGAGCAGGAACGTGCTGTACACTAGGGCGTCATCAGTCATCTGAAGGGAAAGGGAGGAACAAGGCATCCTGGGGTGTCATGCAACACTGGAGGGGGCCTTAAGGACAGTCAGGTGTGTTGGGTAAGGTGGAAAGTTCAGAGACAGGTGTGGTCTTTGCAACATAAAGGTACTTGCCTGAGGTCTGGATCCTCCCCACGCCACCGGAACACACCCCCGTCCCCTGGGCAGCAGCCACAGTATCACGAACTTGAATTTCCTGCTCCGCTGTCCCTATTCATCGCCTCTTGCCTTATTGGCACACTGACATCACAGGAAGGGACGCGGGAGACAGGTGTTGCTGTGGCAGTGGGCATCTTCCAGGTGGTCTATGCCAGACGGGGAGCAGCACCTGGGGTCCCTACCCTCAGCCTGCAGCCCTCAGCCTGCCTCGGGGAGCCTCTGGCAGAAGGGGAAGGGTTTCAGGTTAAGGTTTGAAAAGCATTAGGTCCTACAAGGGCCATGATTTGGTGTCTTCATCGTCTGGTCAAGAGGCACAGCCCAGGGAGTAAGTGGTTGCTGGGCTCAGCTCTGTTTTGATGTCACCTGGAGCTGCAGGAGAGCCCTACCCGCCACCCTGACCCCAGGCCTGGCTTCCGCACTCATTTGGTTTCGGTAACCAGGTGCGGCCTGGGCATTACAATCTCCCCAAGCCTCCTTCCCCTCCACACTGGCTACGAGTTTTTACATTCCTCCAACAGATGGGAGTCTTAAGTTTCCAGGAGCTGAGGAGGAAGACATGTCTGGACTTCACCTGACCTACATGAATCCACAACCGCAGTCTGGCAACTGACTGCTGCCACTTTCCCAGTGTACCACCTGTCCACCCAAACCAGGGACACTCCCAACCCTCAAGCCTCACCTGCACGCTATTGCCACATTCATGCAGCCCAACCTCAAACTTGACCACAGCATCCATGCCCGCAGAGGCCAGGGGCTCACAGCCCGCAGGGCCCAGGCTGAGGTCAGATGCTTGGATGAGCTTCCTGGTGCCAAATAGGTCCTTGCTGACGGTGACCACGAGCTGGGCCTCCCGACACTCTACCACCACAGGGGACTCCAAGGATGAGGGTGGGTGGGTTGTACCATGCAGGAACCACAGCGGCTGTGGGTAGCACAGCTTCACACATCCCCAGAGCAGGAAGCAGAGGACAAGCCTATAGCTCAGCCCCATGGTGTTGTAGGAGTGGTGGGCAGGGCGGCCGAGGTCAAACCTTCTTATACCTCTGGGGGAGGGCGCGCACCTGTCTCCCTTCCCCAGCAACCTGGGGATGGGCTGGGGGAAGGGGGTACTTCTTGCAGACTGATTGGTCCCAAGCAGGGGGCATTGGAGACACCTGGGAGCTCTCAGCATCTTGCCACAAACCCATGGAGTGGGAATGACCCAAGTGATTCACATGCACAACCCACCACTGCTCCCCCCCACTCATCCAGCCCCAAGCTAGGCTGGTCTGTGGAGAATTATGGGAGATTGGATTCAAGTGGGAGGTGAGGAGAATGACCAGGCTCAATTGGACGCATTTTCCCCTCTGGTTCAAATTTCTTGTGGTCATTCCTTAAGGGTCATATTCAAAACTTTTTTTTACCTGTCCCCCTTGCGATTAGTAGACTTTTAAAAAACATTAATTTGTTTTCATTGGAAAGGCAAATCAGATTTATGAAGAACAGCCAGAGAGAAAGATTTTCTGTCTACTGGTTCACTCCCCAAGTAACCACAACAGGAGCCTCTTCTGGGTCTCCCACAGGGTCTAGGGTCCCAAGGCTCTGGGCCGTCCTCTACTGCTCTTCCAGAGCATAAGCAGGGAGTTTGAAGAGAAGTGGAGTAGCTGCGATACTAACTGATACCTATATGGGATCCCGGCACATACAAGGCAAGGATTTAGCCATTGAGCCATGATGCTGGGCCCCTATTATTCTTTTTTAAATTTGGTCAGGTGGAAATCCCTAGCTCTTTCCATCCACTGGTTTCCTATCCAAAGACCCACAGTGTTCAAGGCTGGGCCCGGCTGAAGCTGGGAGAACAGAATGCCATGAGATCTGCCCTGTCCCAGCGGCAGGGACCCATGTGCTCCCACTGCCACCTGCTTTCCAGGGTGGACTTTAGCAGGAGGAAGAACTGGAAACCAAGCCAGAGCTTGATCCCAGATGATCTGTCAAAGGCTGTAGGAGATCCACACAGAGGCCTGAACTGCTGCCTGATGATGCCCAGCCGTAGCTTATCTTCCACTCCATTTTCCATAAACTTTTTTTTTTTCAGTTTTTTTATCTTTTAAGATTTTTATTTATTTTTATTGCAAAGTCAAATATACAGAGAGGAGGAGAGATAGAGAGGAAGATGAGTCCGATGAGTCACTCCCCAAGTGGCCACAATGGCCAGAGCCGTGCTGATCCGAAGCTAGGAGCCTGGAGCTTCATCTGGGTCTCCCACGTGGGGGTGTAGAGTCCCAAGGCTTTGGGCCGTCCTTGACTGCTTTCCCAGACTGCAAGTAGGGAGCTGGATGGGAAGTGGGGCTGCAGGATTAGAACCGATGTCCATATGGGACCCCAGGGCATACAAGGCAAGGACTTTAGACACTAGGCCATTGTGCCGGACACTTCCACAATTTTTTGAGTCACCTTCCTACTTAGGCAAATCCTCATGACACCCTTGATTTAAACTGATGCCTTCCATTCCCGTTTGGCTACCCATGGTCATGTTAACATGAACACTGACTTTAGCTTTTTTTCTTTAAGGTTTATTTATTTTTATTAGAAAATCAGATTTACAGAGTGAAGGAGATACACAGAAAGGTCTGCCATTCACTGGTTCACTCCCCAAGTGGCTGCAATGGCCTGAGCTGAGCCGATCTGAAGCCAGGAGCTTCTTTTGGGTCTCCAACACAGGTGCAGGGTTCCAAGGCTTTGGGCTGTCCTTGACTGCTCTCCCAGGCCACAAGCAGGGAGCTGGATGGGAAGTGGAGTAGCCGGGATTAGAACTGGCACCTATGTGGGATCACGATGGATGCAGGGTGAGGATTTAGTCACTAGGTTATTTCACAGGGCTGAACTTTAGCTTTTAGCACACAGGTTTCCATTTAAGGACTCTTGGCAGTAACTTTCATTGAGCCCATCTGAAGCTCGAATTGCTCAATGTATAGGCTTCAACAGATGTCAGAGTGGGGGCCAATCCATTCAAGTGGAGGCAGCTGCTGTGATAAAGGAGCCTTTTAAAGGGTCTACTTGGGGGAATCAGGTTCAACTGGTTAATCCTCCACCTGCAATCACAGGCAACCTGTATGGGTGCCAGTTCATGTCCCGACTACTCTACATCCCAGTTGGCTATCTGTTTATAGCCTGGGAAAGCAGCAGAGGATGGTCCAAAGCCTTGGGACTCTGTACCACCATGGGAGACCCAGAAGAAGCTCCTGGCTTCAAATTAGCCCAGCACTGGACACTGTGGCTGCTTGTGGAGTGAACCAACAGATGGAAGATCCCTCTTGCTCTCTCTCCACTTCATAAAAAAAATCTGCCTTTTCTTTTTTTTTTAAGATTTATTTTGATTGGAAAGGCAGATATACAGAGAAGAGAGACAGAGAGGAAGGTCTTCCGTCCGATAATTCACTCCCCAAGTGAGCGCAACGGCCGATACTATGCCGATCCAAAGCCAGGAGCCTCTTCCGGGTCTCCCATGTGGGTGCAGGGTCCCAAAGCCTTGGGCCGTCCTCGACTGCTTTCCCGGGCCACAGGCAGGGAGCTGGATGGGAAGCGGGGCTGCCAGGATTAGAACCGGCGCCCATATGGGATCCCGGGCGTGCAAGGCGAGGACCTTAACCACTGCGCCATCGCGCCGGGCCCAAAAAATCTGCCTTTTCTATAAAAATAACTAAATAATAATAATAAAAAAAGTTACTGGCTGAGTCTGGGGAGCACCCCTAGAGCACCTAGCTGCAGAAACGCCAAGGCCCCTGGCAACATGCAATAGTGCAGGTGGCTAGAGCAGGAGGGCAGAGAGAGGTCAGGATCCTAAAGGTGCCAGGCAACCAGGTGGGACAGAGCAGGCTGTAGCAGGGTATGAAGTAGGTGCGTGATCCAGCCAGTTCTGGTTGGGAAGGTGGGTCTGAGATGAGAGGCGGGAGTATACTGCAGGAGTCCTATCAACAGGAAAGGGATTAGACAAGTGTTGCCTCCTTCAGCCCTGGGCAGGTGGGTGGGGGGAAAATACACAGACCAGTGCTGTTCGATGCCTAGGAGCTGGAGCGTGCATTCACTGGCAAGTATTTGCTTCTGGAGCAATGGAACCATGCATTGCAAGCTACTCAATATTCCCCTAGAATTTGCTGTGAATACTCTGGTTCATTTTGTGCCAAACAAATAAAGGGAAGGGAAAGACGGATATCAGGCTGGTGGAACAGGGGCAAGGGCAGACAGCAGAGAACCTGGTGAGAGCCCAGATTCAGAGCCCGCTGGAGGAGGTCAGAGTTGCCCTCCCTCAGAGACTTTGGAAGAAAAAACAGGAAGACGTCAGTGAGCATGGGTGTGAGAATCTGGGAGTCTGTGCGCATGCATCTGCGGTGGGGAGTGTGCATCCCCCTCTGTGTGAGAGAATACTAACAACTTCCACCAGGGAGAGCACAGATCTAGCACCTGCCCAGTCTAAATTCCAGTGGTTGGGCCCAGCAGCGTGGCCTAGTGGCTAAAGTCCTCGCTTTGAACACGAGCCAGGATCCCATATGGTCATCAGTTCTAATCCCGGCAGCTCCACTTCCCGTGCAGCTCCCTGCTTGTGGTCTGGGAAAGCAGTTGAGGAAGGTCCAATGCTTTGGGATCCTGCACCCTAATGGGAGACCTGGAGGAAGTTCCTGGCTCCTGGGTTTGAATCGGCACAGCACTGGCCGTTGCAGTCACTTGAGGAGTGAATCATCGGACGGATTTTCCTCTCTATATCTCCTGCTCTCTGTATATGACTTTGTAATCAAAAATAAATAAATGTTTCAAAAATAAATAAATTTGGGCCCAGCGCAGTGGCACAGTGGTTAAGGTCCTTGCCTTGCACGCCCGGGATCTCATATGGGCACCGGTTCTAATCCCGGCAGCCCCGCTTCCCTTCCAGCTCCCTGCCTGTGGCCCGGGAAAGCAGTCGAGGACGGCCCAAGGCTTTGGGACCCTGCACCCACGTGGGAGACCCGGAAGAGGCTCCTGGCTTTGGATCGGCATAGTATCGGCCATTGTGCTCACTTGGGGAGTGAATCATTGGATGGAAGATCTTCCTCTCTATCTCTCTTCTCTGTATATCCGCCTTTCCAATAAAAAATAATAAAAATAAATCTTAAAAAAAATAATAAATAAATAAATTAATTCCAGGTGTTGCATTTTCCTAAGATGTGCTGTTGCCCCCTGGTGGCCTTAAGGCACCATGCATGCTGAAATCAGCATTTCCCTTACAATTTCCTAAAACACAAATCTCTTTTTGTCTTCTTCCTTCCTTTTTCTTCCTTCTGCACTTCCTTCTTTCCTTCTTTCCTCCCCCCTATTTTTTAATTTTCCTCTTTAAGATTTATTTATTTATTTATTTATGGCCTGGCATGATGGCTAAAGGGCTAAGTCCTGACTTCGCAAGTGCCAGGATTCCCATATGGGCACCAGTTCATGTCCTGGCTGCTCCACTTCCCATCCAGCTCCCTGCTTGTGGCCTGGGAAAGCAGTCAAGCATGGCCCAAAGCCTTGGGACCCTGCACCCTGCATGGGAGACCCTGAAGAGTCTCCTGGCTTTGGATCAGCTCATCTCCATTTCTCTATCTCTCATTCTTTCTGTAAATCTGCCTTTCTCAAAAAAAAAAAATATTTTTTTTAAAAAAAGGATTTACTTATTTATTTGAAAGAGTTGACGAGAGTGAGATCTTCCCCAAGTGGCCACAAATGGCCAGGACTGGACCAAGCTGAATCCAGGAGGTAGGAACTCCATCCTAGTCACCCACATAAGTACAGGAGCCTAAGGACCTGAGCCATCCTCTGCTACTTTCCCAGGCCATTGGCAGAAAGCTAGACCGGAACTGGAGCAGGCCAGAACTTAACTTGGCGCTGCAAGTAGAGGCTTTGCCTGCTACACCGTTTTATATTTTTTATTTTCAATTATTTTTTTTTAAAGATTTATTTAAAAGGCAGCGAGCAGAGACAGAGATCCGTTCAGATCTCCCT